GTTGACTATGGCCAATCCCTTTCCATTGGGAAGAGAAGGATTTTACTGTGTGTCCAATGCAACCATTGTCAATGTCCATTGAAGGTTTAGAAAGTTGATCTAGTAATCAAATTTTCTTTACCAAAACTCTAAATCAATAATGATTCAACAATACCAAGCAAATAGATAAGATCATTTAGGGTCATGTCATTGTCTATTTCATAGTAGTCCCAAAGGTAACTCATTATGTGACTTAGAAAGTGATTAAACATCCAACTTTCTTAAGACTTTGACACCCAACTCTCCCTGCTTGTCAATATGTGACTTCATCTCCAAGATGTGAGAACACATAGACCTAGCTTACCATTAGGGATTGAGTGACCTTAAACTTGTGGGTTAGGGAGGATAATTGGATGAGGTGGAGGAAGTGAAGTTCCAAGAGATTTGGGAAGATCATAGATGTCTGAACTAGACATCTCTTGGGAGATATTCAAGATAGTTGATCTAAAGTCCTTAATATAACACCCAATTTGAAATATTATGGCTAGGACCCAACACAATATTTTATAACTTGGATGAGGGAGGTTGTAATCCAAGATATAGAATATTTGAAGGTAGGTGAATGACGATTCACCAATTTCCACCATGAAAAACGAAATAATTTATTAGGTTTTATTTGGACTTGAAACTCCTAGATCTTTTGAGATTCATTGAACTGTTCAATGGCATGTTTCAATCTTGAGTGTGCCTTTCAGGTTTTGTGACTGGGATGTCGAGGATCACAAAACAAGGTGTGAAGTAACAATGCAAATTACTTAGTACCCTTAATATTTACCCCTCAATCGATGTGTCGGCTAACCACACACGCTCCACCGATACTATGATAAATATTAAGTTACCCTTTGCCTACCTTGTGAAATCAAGCTAGTGTGCCGGTTAACCACAAACACTCCATTAACCGACTTAGGCAAAGTTCTAAGTGTAATTTCATAGGTTAGCACCAAATTTACATTTTCCTAAGTAACTAAGATTGGGTATTAATAAGAGTTTACTTACTTTGTATTTATCATTAATACCTTTAATGAAGGGAGAATTATAGTCGTTGTCCTACCCGTTCGGCTAACGAACCTCAACCAATCAAGGAAGCAGTGGGTGAGAGTGAACTCCCATTAAACTGCCATTTTACAGGCAGTAACCTTATACCCCCTTATAGACCGGCTTCGTGAATAAGGCCTACTATTGGTAAGACGACTTGCTCTTATACATATATATATATATATATATATATATATATATATATATATATATATATATATATATATATTATTAACTTATAATATTATAAAGTATAACGGTTGAATTTTAACTTTTAAAATTCTAAGGGCATAACATGGAATTAAAGTATTCATGGGAAAACTTTACAAATTCCAAAACTTCAGGGCAAGTTTTGAAACTATTCAAAACTCTTGGATTTTCTTAACTTATGAGTTTAATTAATGTTTTAAAAACTTTTAATGAAGAGACTCTTGGACATCCATAACTTGAGGACAAGTTATGGAGCCATAAAAACTATTTATAAGAAAAGACTCTTCATTTTTGTAACCTCTTGTTCTTTAATAAAATTTTTAAAGAAGTGATTCTTAAACATCCATAACTTGAGGACAATTTATGGAGTCATAATACTATTTAATGAAAAAGACTCTTCATTTTTTATGTAACCTATGACACTTTTATGAGTTTTAAGATTCATAAATGTGACTTTTTATGTAACTTGAGGACAAGTTACAAAAACACATTTTATGAACTACCTCTAGATTAATTAGAATTGAAAACAACTAAAACACAATTTTTTTCCATTAATCTAAGCTAACTCATAAATCAAGGAAACCTAAAACTTTTGGTAATCCATAACTTATGGAGTTAAATGCTTGTTTTATGATGAAACTTTTCATGTTCCATAACTTAAGAATAAGTTAAGGAATTCTTTTAAAACATTAAGACCAAATTTTGTAACTCCATAAAAACATTGAACCAACTTTTTTAAAACCTTTTCATATCCATAACTTATGGAGGTTTCAAAAAAAAAAAGAAAAAGAAAAGAAAAAAAAACTCTTTGATGAAGGAATGAATCAAGTATGAAATGAATCAGAGTTTTAATGATCAAAGTAAGATTCTGAGATTAGAACACCGATGTAAATAAGATTTTTCACTTCAGCTTTACTTCGCTATCAAGTTTTACAGAGAACAAAATGACAATTCTGTAAAAGATCGTCCTCTATGACTCTAGTAAACACTCCTATTTATATGAGATGAAAGCGTACAATAAATATACTAAGGACTAAACACTTTAAGCTTCGAATAAACTTGCCTTAGTAAAATACATTATAAGCCATACGAAGAGTACAAAAGACTTCGACTCATTACAACTCAAAATACCCTCACAATCTCCTCCTTTGTAAACAGAGTTGAAGACTTCAATTTGAAAGAAGTTGGATTAAATACAACATAACTCTTCGTATTTCTGTATACCCATTGATTATCTTTTTCAGCTCCTTCTTGTCTCCCTCATTATTTATCTTGCAATGATTCATACGAACAATTAAGTTCGTATATTGCAAAGTTGAATACCTTTCTATTTCACTTGCTTGAAACAAAAATTTCTTAGACCTTCCAATCTTGTCCTTCCCAGAAAAGACTAAACCAAAAGGTTTCAAGCAGATTTCCCCATCAGCATATTTCTTAAGTTCTGCTTGTGTATTTGAAGGATTCATTGGAGCAGTGATTTCAAGACCCTATGTTGTAGCTAACTCCACATCTATCATTGCTAGACCTTCGTAATAATTTTCAATGAAAATTTTGATATGAGTAACTCCCAGCTTAAACTCATCCGGCTCAGTGTTTTGTAGATAATAAAATGACCTTTCCTTCAGAATTAATGCAACTTGTATAAGATCATACAAGTTCATCAATGGAAAGTCTGCAACAGTAAATTCACACACTTTTCCATTTGCCCTTACCACCATATACTTTAAATTTTGGATTGTGTCTTCGAAGATCACATCCTTCTTCATACTTATAACTTTCTTGATCTTCATCAAAGACCACACCTCCTCAACAAACTTTGCAAAAACAACATGAAATCTGATCTTCATGTGTGTTCCTTCATCCTTCTCCTTAAATTTGCTTTCAGCTTTAAATTGAGGCATGATAAACATCATCTCATTTATAGGAAAATCCAGCTGGCCTGCATCTATATTTTTGACAAGGTAACTCTGCTTGGGCTTTTTCTCAAATGCATACATGTGATTGAATGCAACCTCGGATTCAATTGTTTCGTAATTGTAATGTTTCGAAGTATCTCACTTATTCAAACCTAGAGGGTCACTGGCCCTTTGAGTCATAATACTTTGTATCATTCTCAGTTTTTCAACCTCAGCCTCTACCTCTGCTTTCTTTTCCTCTTTGGATTTTTCAATTAGAATCTCTTTACCTTTTGATTTTGAACCGAACTCAACAACATTATCTCTAGGCTTTGAAGCACTTCCACCAATATCTCCAATTTTACCACTCACAATTCCTTTCGGTTTTGTGATTGGCATAATTGTTACAACTGTTGAAGTGATCTAACCAGTTGTTATCATTATCGGTTTTGTTGTTCGGATTTTCAAAGAAAATACCTTCCCCACTACTTTTGAATCCTCTCCTCCAGTCTTCGAGCCTGCATATATTTTTTCTTCCCCTTGCACCCCGGTGCTAGCAGGCGGGGCATAAGTAGTTGGAAGAAGACTGGAGATGCGTGACAAAGGGGCTAGGTGTTGGACAAGTAATTCTTCAAATTTATAAAAATGTTTGATCAGATCTTCCGAAGATAGCAAAGACAAAGTAGGATTTGAAGATAGACTTTTAAGATCCTTCAAGAATTCGAACACCTCCAAAAATTCTTGTTATCGTTGGTTGAAAGCTGAGTAATCTGAAGGCTCAGATTTTTGTATAACTTTGCAAATTTCGTAACTACCTCACAAATAATATCCAACTTTTTGTTGATAGAATCAAACTCAGTTCGAACAACCGATATTTCTTTCTACATGTCTTCACGTAGTTCCTAAAGTTTGAAGTTTACATTTTCTTGCACCTTCTTTACATCCTGAAAAAATAACACATGCCTCTCTTTTGCAACCATCTTCAATTCTTTCAAGTCAGATGCAAATCCAGACTTCTGAGAATTCACTCGTAATTCATTATTTTGATCACAATGATCAATCTTCTCCAACAAATGAGACTCTGAATCTTTCAATATTCTAGAGACTTTTGTGGTTAATCTTGCTTCAAGTAAGGACAACATGCCATCAACTTCAAGACTTGATACATAATGACCCCCCCCCCCCCCCAAGATCAGCTTGAGATTGAATAATCAAATTGAGCTTCGTATTCAAGATTTTGAGCTTTTTCATCGTCATTAGCATATGATCTGGGAAGTCTGTTTCCTCATCATCAAACTCCAGATTCTCAAAAGTTCCCCCAAAACCTTCAGACTCATTTTCCGTATCCATGAATGAATCTTTTATTGGAGAAGTAGTGGTTGGTGGATCAGTTGATTGTGAAGAAAAAATAGTTGTGAAAGGTTGTGAAATAATGTTTGCAAAGGTTGGAGAATCAGTTGTGGATGTTATAGGAACAATGGGAGTAATATGTGGAGGTAAAGAAATGAAAGAATCGGAAACAACACTCGAAGGGTTACCTTTTGCTGCTTTATTCGAACTGTCCTCACCCATGATGACATTTGTATCCATATCAGATATGTTTATAGGGATGTCTGAAGTTCGTGCCTCCACAGTAACCGTTTTAGCAATCGCAGCTTCGGGTGGTGTACTAACTGAAGTATCTAGTTGAGAAGAATCTTTAATCAAAGCTGCCTCAGGTGTCTCGGGAATAATATCACCCTTATCTATTGTAGAGTCTGAGGAAAGAATCACCCTACGCTTCTTCTTCTTTGAGATTTGTTTTGCAATCTCAGTAGCTATTCACTTTTTCGAAGACAGTGAAGCAGGAGCAGGTACTTCACGAAAAATTACCCCTTGATGTGAAACTTGAGGTTTGCAAACAATATTCGTAATAGAGGATCGTCCCTTATGCTTCAACTTCGATTTCATTTTGATTCTTCTAAATACACCAATCTTAGAAGGAATAACTTCCTTTTCAGTTAACTGGGTATCAGCAATAATAGGCTCCGGTTGGATTGGCTCGGCTTCAACAACAGGAACCTGCTTTGGACTTTTAGAAGAACTGGTTGGCTTAACCTTGGTACCCGAAGACCCAACATCAGTTATCTTTGACTTCTTTGACTTCTTCTCATTGGTTTGTGGGAAAAGAACACCTGTTTCCACAGAAGAATCTATTGATTTCAAATAAGTAATCAATATAGGATTTTTAGAATCAACTCTTTTCAGCATCACATCAGGGATACGAGCAGCAAAAGGGAATACATCCGAGTCATTTGTAGCACCCTTCGGACACCCATAAATGTGAAACATAGCTTTTTCTTCTTCTGCTGAAACTAAAATTCCTTCCTTTTCATAGAAATATTGCAGAATTAAACTCCAATATCGAGCACACGAAATGCCATGAATAGCATTCGTGTTTTCGATACTCTTCTGGAACTCCTTCCATAGCTGTGTGGAGTAATCGAATTGAAGATCATAGTACAACCCTGCAACCATGGCGTACACCTCCATTCTTCCCTTATCTAACCCAACCGTTCTTCCAGTTAAACGCCAAAGAAAAATCCCAAACAGAAAATTCCATATACTTGGTAACCATGACTTCTTGAAATCACTAATCTTTGTCAATTGGGGTCGATGACCCATTTCATTGAGCATATGTACGATTTGTGGAAAGGTAAACATAGCATACGGTGGTGAATTAGGTATGGAAAGGATTTGGTAGAAAAGCTTCTTTGATAATCTAACCTTTTTATCATTGATGAGGTTGAATGTAACAGCTTCCAAAGCTTTTGAATAAGTTGCAGTTGAACCGGCTAGAGATAACCAAGAAAGAGGAACAGAGAATGAGTTGAATATGGCCTTTGATAATACCGAGTTTTGCAGAGCAACAACCAACATTTTCAATTCTTCCGGATACAGAGAAACATTTGATTCAACCTGGTAATTAGTACCCTCAATCTTCATGATCGGCAGAGAAGTAACATCATCTGTTGTGTGAGAAAGATTAGCATCAGGAACTGCAGTTGCCATTTTTAGGGTTTGAAAGAAGATGGTTATCAGAGAAACTGGAATAAGATGAAAGCATAAACTGATAATGAACACTTATATAACTCTTAAATTTGAAATCAAAGCGGGATATGCATTTAATGCGTGATGATGTGTCACTGAGAAAGTCGCATCATGATGATGATAAAGTAACCATGCGTCAAAAAGTAACTGTCACATCACCTTGAAAATCGGAAGTAATACAAAACGTCTCCTCAAACAGTCTGTATTTATTGACCCAATGGAATTGTAACCGTCTGAACCCCTTCGGATGGAAATTAGTCTCTTTCACTTTTGGGATGAAAAGCGAAGTCATATGTCAGATGTTTCAAATCATCATCCTGAGTTGGTGTTACTCAGAACCTCATGGATTTCATGAGTGTAGTGTTCCAAATAAAGTAAGAAAAGAAACAATAAAATAATTTTTTTTTGCAATTCTGTGATGTCAAAAAGTTAATTTGACACAAATGCAGTTAAACCCCGGGCAAAGGTTGCTTCGTTAATCATCAAGAGAGATGATCAACAGCTTGTGTATGTTCCTGTGAATTACAATCAAAAACTTGTAGAGAATATTCACAGGGTTTCTTTTGTAAGGCTACATAGGTGGCTTAATAAATTTCGTTACATATCAGCCTTAACATAAGGTGAGTAACTGTAATAGAAATTACTTGTTTGACCAGTATAGTAAGTGACAAGTATGCTTTGAAAAATGTCGAATGTGACTTTTGGATTCGAAGTAAACTCACATAGAAATCATATTAATGAAAAAATTTGTGATGGATCTTGTTGGGTAACAAACACCGTGGGTTTCGAATGTTTGATCAAGATCACTCATATGACATGAATATGATTTGGAGTTTTGAAAATGGTACTGAAACAAAAGTTTCGTAAAGTCTGGAACATAGTTCCCTGTAAATTCCTTAATTTGCAAGAAATTTGGGTTTCACTTTCATCACGGTCTCATGATGTCAGATCATTAACATAGATTGTTAATATGTCTAAGTCTCGATTGGTTTGATCAGAGACCTCTTGGACATATGCCTTCGTGTGTGCTTGTGAAAGAACTTTTAGATGAAAAAGATTGGTGAAGATCCGAAGTGTACCTCTGTTATATTTGGACAAAACAGTTACTCTTTACTCATATGAGAAGAGTCAAGTAGCTTATAAGACTAATGTGAATACAAGCCTGATTGGGAAGAAATTTTCGTATGAAAACTTCATTAAGGCTTTCGTATACACACATTGAGACATTGGAGGCTTTGGATAACATGCAGCAGCATGCTTCTAGGGACATCTTAACTAGTTCAAAGTAAATAAAATGAAAAGATTTGAAAGATTCATTTACCTGACCCTAGATCTGCAAGCATGTGCCTTTTCATTCGTTCAGAAGGATCTGCAACAAAGTACTTAAAAGAAGAAAAAAAATGTAATCTTTTTGATGTTTTTGATTTTTCGAAAATGAAGAACAAAAGAAAATGAAAATATTTTTGATGTTTTTGATTTTTTGAAAATAAAGAACAAAATAAAATGAAAATATTTTTGATGTTTTTGAATTTTTCGAAAATGAAATGACTCAAATAAACGATAGTACTAATTGCAAACATAGGACATTTTACCAATTCCCTGAAAAGTGACAATCATACGAATGCGAAGCGTTCGAAGAGTTGACTATGAACAGTAACCTCTGAACACTGAATGATGACACATTATCACTGAAGGATCAGTCACTATTCTCCTTTTTCGCATGGAACTGAATTTCCATCGACCATTCCCAGTCCTTCCAGAATTCGTACAAACGATTTTTCATCCAAAGCTTTCGTAAAAATATCAGCTAACTTATCATTTGTTTTTACAAAATGTACTTCAATATTTCCATCATTCACGTGATCTTTGATGAAGTGATAACGAAGAGCTATATGTTTAGTCTTCAAATGCTGCACAAGATTATGACAAATTCTTATTGCACTTTGTGAATCACAATATAAAGGAATCTTTTTCATATTAATTGCATAATCACGTAATTGACTTTGAATCCAATTTATCTATGAAGTGCAGGCAGCAACATCAACATATTCAGCTTCAGTCGTTGAGATGGATACACAAGTTTGCTTCTTCGATTGCCAACTCACTAATTTACCATCAAGTAGCTAACATCCTCCAATCGTGCTTTTCCTACCCAAAGTACAACCACCCATACCTGCATCTAAATATGCTTGAATAAAGAACCCAGTATTCGAAGGATACCACAATCCTAACGAAACAGTTCCTTTCAGATAACGAAAGATGTTCTTCACAACATTGAGATGTGGTTCTCAAGGATTTGATTGATACCTAGCACAGTTACACACAGAATACATAATATCAAGTCTACTTGCTGTTAAGTAAAGTAAA